TAACAGATTACTTTAATAACTCTATTTAGAAATAATAACTGATTTATTTAGTTTGATTATCATTTGCATTAAATTTGATAAACAAATTAATAAATACAACTGATCAAAGATACAAGTGAAATAAACAGTGCTTAACAATTTTCTTTGGAGTTTTAATAATCAAATGTAAATAGCACTGTATAGTCTTCATCATAATTATAATTCTATAAATTTAACCTTCATTTAGTTACAAACTATAACATTTTCTCGTCTCTGAATGCTTTAAACTCTCCTCAAATCCCCACACAATCACAGGCCTTAAAAAAACAAATGCAAATGATACAATTGTACACTATTGAGGCTATACTTTGCAACTGTGGCTCCTGGTGAAAATACCAACTTAACATTGCAGATCATGCAATGCGAATATTAATGCTGAAACAATTTATTGTGCAGCCCTAATATTTTTATTAGCCTTTTTTCTTGTTTATTATTTCTTAAAACAAAGTAAAGTTCAACAATATGATAATTCATAACTTTATTTCTAATTAAATGCAGCAGAACTTGCAACCATAGTTTAGCTCACAGTGATTTTGGGAAATACACCTAAGAAATGGACGGTGTTTTAGAGAAAACCATTTTCAATCAACATAGAATTTGAATGAAAGATGAGCTATCATTATTATACACAGACAATTTATGTTTGTTTTTATTTTCTTTACAAAATCATGTCACGTTGTGATACTGTCACTTTCCTCTGATAAAAGTGGACCAAAACATTAATAAATTAAAGTTCCCTGACTGTGTAAAGTACATCTCAGCATAAATGTATGGAAGAAGGGATTCTGGTCTATTCATGATAAATTTGAAAAAGCTTGTAGTCGACTCTCTAGAGGTGGAGCTTCAAGAAATGAATGGAGAAATCTGACACACAGGGAAAGCGGTCTATCTTTTTGTCTGGACGATGGTGAGGTCAAAACATTTATCATTAAAATTCAACATTGTTTACAATAAGATCTAAATGTCTGGGTTTTTAAGATTGCTTACAAAGAAAAAAATTATTTTATAATAAATAAAATTAATAAAAATGTAAAACATACATTTCAAAATAGTTGAGTTAGCTATTAAATAGTTATTGCTCTCATCATTTAATGTAAAATATATATTGATTATATATTTTATCTAACCTGTTTTTCTATAATTCTAAAAAATAAAGTAATAACACAAATATTACCATATTTTATTAAAGATTTTGGTAATGACAAATTGGTAAAACCAAGCAGTTTTAAGGAGAGTGGTTAAATATAAAGATTTAAAATCAACAACGAATTAGTAATTTGGGGATGCAGTGATTGTCGTTTAATGTCATCAAATCATAAATATTTTGTTTTTGTTTTCATAAACTAGCCGTAGAGACTTAAATACATTAAATAAATAATGGCACATTTTCATTTTATACACAAATAAAAGAATGTACATACTCTAGTGCAAATAAAACTACATTGTATAGGTCATACTGAATACATAACTGTGTGGCTACATAAAAGACTAAAACAAAACACGAATTTCATGGGGTCTTGAAATGAATAAATGAATGAATGAATGAATGAATCTTCAAGCTGCATTTTTCCTTAGAGCAATTCATAAACTTACAACCCAGCACAATTTTGCAAGAAATTAATAATGCAAGCTAAAGCGAAAATAGCTGTCATTTCTAAGCAGGATCAAGTGTGTTTTACACTCCCTTCAAACACCAAACACATATTTCACAACACCTTAATACAAGCTATCAGTAAACAAAGCAACGCGTTTACAAACACCATCACAGCCTTATAATGATTTTGCATGGGGGGGAAGAGAGGTTTACACTGACAGCAGGTTGACTTTCCCAACTGACGTCTTTGTACCACTTCACAGCTTCAAGACAGCCACATCCAGAACAAAACACAGTCGTGATCACACAACAGCTGTCATTTTATGCCTATGACAGTGGTTTATCCCACAGAAAACCAGATTACACCCCTAAGGGGGTGTTTACAAGCTAAAATACATTGTAAGCTTCTCCGTTACTATCTAGATCCGATGCACTACGGCTCGTACGATCTCAACATGCAATGGGACAAATGAAACCGAATGCAAAATGCATTACTACAGTCTCAATTGATGTGTTGAATCAGACTTTAAAATAACGTTAACGTTAGGTTGAAGCGGTTTACGAGCAGCTATGCTAAGCTAACAAGGCTAAAACACAAACACACACACACTCGGATGTATGTGCACATACACGAGGCATCAAAGAAGCGCACGACCGTAATTTCCAATGAAAACCACCACGAAAACACTCGTTTCACACAAACCAACAACGACTGTCATTGCAATTCGGGTTTTACATAAAGAATGGACAGATTTTGGGGGGAAAGGCTGAGAGTGAGAGTCTCTCGCATGGGTTAACAAGAGAATAGACAAGCAACCGCCGAAAATTACAAAAGCACCTCCGGAAACAGCCAGGAAATAATAATCCCTGTTAAAGACATACAAATCGGAGCGGTTTTGACCTCGCGTGCGGTTTACTTCCAAACAGACGTTTACCTTTTTGGAAAAAGTGCGCGCTCCACTCGCTTCTCCACCGCTGTGATCCTCCTGTCGGCTTCAAAATGGCGCCAATTTGTCCCTATCTGCACCAGTCAGTGCAGCTCTGCTCAACACAGACGCTTCTCCCTCCTCCTCCACTCGCGGTTATTTATTTAACAGCATAACTGCGTGCTTTGAGATTATATTGGCAGTTTTGCTGTTAGAAACAGAAACAAGTTGCTGTAATAGTGACGGAAATGGCTTGTGTAAAAGCGAGCGTTTGTGTGGAGTCGCGGGCAGGTTGGAGTGTGGTGTAACAGCGACTCCTACAGGACATGAGAAGAATAACAGCCAGTCTCCGCCTTCATTTGACAGGTATGCGCTGCTGCAAGAGAGATGTTATTCCCAAATAAACAAGTGTTACTTTGGTATTAAATAATAATTTACGGTTTGTTTTTATTTTTAGATCATCAGTTTTAACTTTAATTTATATTTATTTACAGTTTTAGATTTTATTTTAGTTTTGATTAAATGAAAATAAACCAAAAATGTATTTATTGATTCATTCATTCATTCATTCATTCAATTAATGTTTATTTTTAAGTAACAAATTATTTAAGTTTTATTGTTGTGCACTTTGATAATCCTACTCAAAAGGAATAATAGAAATGTAAAATTGTAATGATAATTGCTAATAAAGCTGATATATAGTTAAAGTCAGAATTATTAGACCCCTGTTTAATTTTTCTCCAATTTCTGTTTAACGGTGAGAAGATTTTTTCAACACATTTCTAGACTTTATAAATTTTAATAAAGTTTTAATAACTAATAACTGATTTATTTTATCTTTGCCATGATGACAGTAAATAATATTTGACTAGATATTTTTCAAGACACTTCTATACAGCTTAAAGTGACATTTAAAGGCTTAACTTAGGTTAACTAGGCAGGTCAGGGTAATTAGTCAAGTTATTGTATAGCGATGGTTTGTTCAGTAGACTATCAAGAAAAAAATATATAGATTAAAGGGGCTAATAATTGTGACCTTAAATGTTTTTTTTAAATTAAAAAATGCTTTTTTTCTCGCTGAAATAAAACAAATAAGACTTTCCCCAAAAGAAAAATGCTATCAGACATACTGTAAATTTCCTTGCTCTATTGAACATAATTTGGGAAATAAAAAAAAACAACCAATGTTATAAATGTCACAACTTCAATTTAAAATGGCCCAAAATTAGAAATGTATTGCACCATAAAAAAAAAAAAAAAAAACTTACAAAAATTTCTGTACAAAAAAATTTACTTACAAAAATAACCAGCGTTTTCTATAAAATAAAAATGTTATTAAAGTTTCTATATATTTATTTAATAAATGATTGATTCATTCCGTTTATGATTTTTTAAAGTCACAACATTTATTTAATGTTTAACTTTAATAACCCTAATGACTTACAGATATCGAAAACTCTTAGTTTGGTTATCGTAAGAAATTCTTTAAATGAACCTATTTAATTTAAATAAATTTACATAAACAACCAAATAAACAAAATAAATGTAAATATTCTGCAACATAATTTCTTTATAATAATTATATACAATATTAATATAATTCATTCATTTTCTTGTCGGCTTAGTCCCTTTATTAATCCGGGGTCGCCACAGCGGAATGAACCGCCAACTTATCCAGCAAGTTTTTACGCAGCGGATGCCCTTCCGGCCGCAAACCATCTCTGGGAAACATCCACACACACATTCACACACACACACTCATACACTACTGACAATTTAGCCTACCCAATTCACCTGTACCGCATGTCTTTGGACTGTGGGGGAAACCGGAGCACCCGGAGGAAACCCACGCTAAGGCAGGTAGAACATGCAAACTCCACACAGAGACGCCAACTGAGCCGAGGTTTGAACCAGCAACCTAGCAACCTTCTAGCTGTGAGGCGACAGCACTACCTACTGCGCCACTGCCTCGCCCATAATAATATAATAAGTAATAATAATAATATGGGACAGCAAGTGGCGCAGTGGGTAGCACAGTCGCTGGTTCGAACCCTGGCTATGTCAGTTGGTATTTCTGTGTGGAGTTTGCATGTTTTCCCCATGTTGGCATGTGTTTTCTCTGGGAGCTACGGTTTCCCCAACAGTCCAGGACATGCGGTACAGGAGAATTGGGTAAGCTAAATTGGCCGTAGTGTATGTGAGTGTCTGCAAGATTGTATGGGTGTTTCCCATTGTTGGGTTGCAGATGCGTAAAATTAGCAACTGCGTAAAACATGTGCTGGATAAGTTGTTGGTTCATTCCTCTGAGGTGACCCCTTATTAATAAAGAGACTAAGCTGAAAAGAAAATTAATAAATAATAATAATATTAAACTTATAATCATTTTAACCAACCAACATTATAAATGTCAAAACTTTAATGAAATAAAAATGAACCAAATGTAAAAATGATGCAAAAAAGATTTATTAACATCATAAAAACACATTTATTTACAAAAATAACCTGTATTGAATAAAAATTGGCATGTTCCCCACATGAGCCATCAACAACATACAGCACCAGCAATATTTCTAAAACACAAACCCTGAGATTAGATTAGCATCCAGTAGATTGAGCGGCTGGTCCTTTCAAAATAAACAAACAAACAAAACGTAATGCCTTAAATACAGCTAAAGATTCTAATTCAGCATGGCACTACAGATGTGGTTTTATCATCTAATCATGAATCTCAGCACATAATATACATTACATGCCTGTCTAAAATCAAACGCTTAATCAAACTCTTAATCTACCAATGTTCTACGCTTATCAATGTGGACGGTTTACATTTGTCATTATATATTACAAAAAAAAAAAAAACATTTTTATATGCAAACTAAGTGTACAGGAAATATAAAAGAAAGTGTAATGATTACAACGAACATCAAACAGAAGATTTTTGAAATATTTTTGCTATTTCATTGTCATTAAAACAACTTCATCTGCATCAACATGTTTTAAAATGCAAAGCTAGATATCATCAGTTCTGTGTTAATGGGGTTTGCTTTTATGCGGAGGCACGACAGAATTCATCACAATATCAACATTCATCGGCCGCTCGAACCCATCCAGCATCTTTGCTATCGTATCTCGAGGGACGCCGTGCTTGTTCCTCCTGTTGATTAAATTAATAGACAGGAAATTACCAGGATATTCAAGCTCTTTTCAAGCGCTACACAAAGCCGGTGGCAAATAAAAACAAAGAAAAGAATTAATCCGACCAGAGTTAGTTTATATTCATGGGGATATAAAAGATACGCACTGATCCTGCACCATAAAACATTTCATCCACTTAAACACGGCTGAATTCTGAAGCTCTGTTCCATACGCCAAAAACCTGATCCAAAGTCAATAATTTTTCCCACTCTGTGATTTATTAACGTCTCTGAGTTCTTTGCTTAACACGAGAACCAAAACTGTTAACAGACTTACTTTTCCAACTGGGCGGGATCACATTTCCAAGGGGTATCTGGCTCAAGAAAGTCCACTCTGTATCCGTTCTCTAAAGCCTGGGTGAAATAAAATGCATGAATGCAAATGTATTACTAATTAGCAGAATATGCTGACTTTTTTTTTGCAGTTGCTGTGCAGAATTTTCTACAAAAATCTGTGGGTTTATGTGGAATGATTTTGAAAGTATAGTAATTTAAATGTAATAAAAAATAAAAACTTTTTAATTTTTATTTAAGGTTTACAATGTATACACACACACACACACACACACACAGACACAGACACACACACACACAGACACAGACACACACACACACACACACACACACACACACACACACACACACACACACACACACACACACACACACACACACACACACACACACACACACACACACACACACACACACACACACACACACACACACACACACACACACACACACACAGTTGAAGTCAGAATTATTAGCCCCCTTTGATTTTTTTTTTTTTCTCTTTTTTTAAATATTTCCCAAATGATGTTTAACAGATTCAGGAAATTTTCACAGTATGTCTGATAATATTTTTTCTTCTGGAGAAAGTCTTATTTGTTATAATTCGACAAGAATAAAACCAGTTTTTGATTTTGTAAACACCATTTTAAGGACAAAATTATCAGCCCCTTTAGGCAAATTGTTTTTCCGATAGTCTACAGAACAAACCATCGTTATACAATAACTTGCCTAATTACCCTATCCTGCCTAGTTAACCTTAACAACCTAGTTAAGCCTTTAAAATGTCACTTTAAAGTGTAAAGAAGTGTCTTGAAGAATATCTAGTAAAATGATATGTACTGTCATCATGGCAAAGATAAAATAAATCAGTTATTAGAAATGAGTTATTAAATCTATTATGTTTAGAAATGTGATGTAAAACTTTTCTCTCCATTAAACAGAAAACTGTTTTTTTTTTTTTTTTAAAGTCGGTTGCTATGATATTCATTCATTTTCTTTTTGGCTTAATCCCCTTATTAATCTGGGGTCGCCACAGCGGAATGAACCGCCAACTTATCCAGCATATGTTTTACGCAGCGGATGCCCTTCCAGCTGCAACCCATCACTGGAGAACAACCATACACTCTCATTCACACACATACACTACGGCCAATTTAGCTTACCCAATTTACCTATAGGGCATGTCTTTAGACTGTGGGGGAAACCAGAGCACCCAGAGGAAACCCATGCCAACACTGGCAGAACATGGAACTCCAAACAGAAATGCCAACTGGGCCAGCCAAGGCTCAAACCAGTGACCTTCTTGCTGTGAGGCGAGAGCCCTACGGTTGCTATGATATGAAAACAGGAAATATACAGCAATGTAAACTCACCAATTCAACATAAGGCTTCATCTCCCAGGCTTTCACATTAGTGTTGTCAATGATCACAGGTGAGCAGCCATCCAGCATCGCCTGTTCAGCTGACAAAAAAGACCAAACCAAAAATAATCAGCATCAAGGGCGGATGGAGAGAAATTACTTCATGATCCTCTCAAAACATTCAAAGTACAAAATAATATGTGTCCGCCTTTGAAACTGTCTGAATAATTAGGAAACATAAAAATGTTATTATATAAATCTGTACATTAATATTTTTTTCTCAATTTCTTATTTGTATTCTTATTTAGTAATTTTCATAATACAAATTAAACACTGAACGTAATATTAACTAAACTTAAAGTCTAAAAAACAGGATTATTTATGTAAATATATAGAACTTGGTTATATATCTATAATATGTTTATCTTTAATTTGGGCTTTAACCTAACTTGGACACATTTTTTTAAGAATCACTTGTGTTGCATTACCTGTTTGATATAACTATGTAATATAAAAAACAAATATGAACTGGATATTTTGTCAAAAGAGTCACTTCTCACAAATGTTAAATAATAATACATGTTATATAACCATGTAATATAAATACATAATATAAAAAGAATGCATATACAAGATAAATAAATAAGAACAGTATATGGTGTTGAAATATAACCTGGACATTTTTTTTCTTAAGCACCAATAATACCACATTATGTATTTGAATTAACTATGCAATAATACAGGGGTCACCAATCTCGGTCCTGGAGGGCCGGTGTCCCTGCAGGGTTTAGCTCCACCTTGCCTCAACACATCTGCCTGGATGTTTCAAGTATACCTACTGTAGTAAGACCTTGATTAGCTAGTTCAGGTGTGTTTGATTATGGTTGGAGCTAAAATCTGCAGGACACCGGCCCTCCAGGAACAAGTTTGGTGATCCCTGCAATTATATATATATAAATTAAAAAAAAAAAAAATTAGCATATTGTGATGAAGTTCATTATTTTCTTTAATGTACTGATAAACATTAGACTTTCATAGATTTTAGATTCATTACACACAACTGAAGTTCAAGCCTTTTATTGTTTTAATATTGATGATTTTGGCATACAGCTCATGAAAACCCAAATTTCCTATCTCAAAAAATTAGCATATCATGAAAAGGTTCTCTAAACCTTTTAGCTATTAATCTAATCATCTGAACCAACTAATTAACTCTAAACACCTGCAAAAAATTCCTGAGGCTTTTAAAAACTCCCAGCCTGGTTCATTACTCAAAACTGCAATCATGGGTAAGACTGCCGACCTGACTGCTGTCCAGAGGGCCATCATTGACACTCTCAAGCAAGATGGACGAATGAACGAATAGGCTGTTCCCAGAGTGCTGTATCAAGGCACCTCAGTCGGAAGTCTGTGGGAAGGAAAAAGTGTGGCCGAAAACACTGCACAACGAGAAGAGGTGACCAAACCCCGAGGAAGATTGTGGAGAAGGACCAATTCCAGACCTTGGGGGACCTGCGGAAGCAGTGGACTGAGTCTGGAGTAGAAACATCCAGAGCCACCGTGTACAGGCGTGTGCAGGAAATGGGCTACAGGTGCCGCATTCCCCAGGTCAAGCCACTTTTGAACCAGAAACAGCGGCAGAAGCGCCTGACCTGGGCTACAGAGAAGCAGCACTGGACTGTTGCTCAGTGGTCCAAAGTACTTTTTTCGGATGAAAGCAAATTTTGCATGTCATTCGGAAATCAAGGTGCCAGAGTCTGGAGGAAGACTGAGGAGAGGGAAATGCCAAAATGCCTGAAGTCCAGTGTCAAGTACCCACAGTCAGTGATGGTCTGGGGTGCTATGTCAGCTGCTGGTGTTGGTCAACTGTGTTTTATCAAGGGCAGGGTCAATGCAGCTAGCTATCTGGAGATTTTGGAGCACTTCATGCTTCCATCTACTGAAAAACTTTATGGAGATGAACATTTCATTTTTCAGCATGAACTGGCACCTGCTCACAGTGCCAAAACCACTGGTAAATGGTTTACTGACCATGTTATTATTGTGCTCAATTGGCCTGCCAACTCTCCTGACCTGAACCCCATAGAGAATCTGTGGGATATTGTGAAGAGAAAGTTGAGAGACACAAGACCCAACACTCTGAATGAGCTTAAGGCCGCTATCGAAGCATCCTGGGCCTTCATAACACCTCAGCAGTGCCACAGGCTGATTGCCTCCATGCCACGCCGCATTGAAGCAGTCGTTTCTGCAAAAGGATTCCTGACCAAGTATTAAGAGCATAACTGAACCTAATTATTTGAAGGTTGACTTTTTTTTTGTATTAAAAACACTTTTCTTTTATTGGTCGGATGAAATATGCTAATTTTTTGAGATAGGAAATTTGGGTTTTCATGAGCTGTATGCCAAAATCATCAATATTAAAACAATAAAAGGCTTGAACTTACTTCAGTTGTGTATAATGAATCTAAAATATATGAAAGCCTAATGTTTATCAGTACATTACAGAAAATAATGAACTTCATCACAATATGCTAATTTTTTGAAAAGGACCTGTATACACACAAACACACACACACACACACAGTTGAAGTCAGAATTATTGGCCGCCCTTTGAACTATTATTATTTTTTCAATATTTCCCAAATGATGTTTACAGAACAAACCATCGTTATAAAATAACTTGCCTAATTACCCTAACCTGCCTAGTTAAGCCTTTAAATGTCACTATAAGCTGTATAGAAGTGTCTTGAGAATTATCTAGTAAAATATTATTTACTGTTATCATGGCAAAGATAAAATAAATCAGTTATTAGAAATGAGTTAATAAAACTATTATGTCTAGAAATATGTCTCTCTGTTAAACAGACATTGGGGGAAAAATAAATGGGGCTAATAATTCAGGGGGGCTAATAGTTCTGACTTTAACTGTTTACACATATATAAACATTATAAATAAAAACATATAACAAATAAACTTATGCTCACCTCTCTTCTGATTCCAGTCGTGTGCATCCCCAAGGAGAGCAGAATCAAATGCATATCTGTTGTCTTGGAAAAAGTAGTCATCTGTGCTCAGTACCACTCCATTGGGACCAGTGGACAGGAGCTCTCTGAGCAACACATACAATATTATCAGCACTTCTCCAATCAACATGAGCACTGCTTGTGCTTCTTCAGTAGCCAGTTAAATCAAACATCTCACCACTGATTTGCTTCTCAAACATCAATGAGGCCAATAAAATACAAGATTATTTTAATAAACATATTTGTTAACTGAAATAAAAACAAATGAGTAACTAAAAAATACAAACTGAAATAAAAAAAATAATTAGCAAAAATATTTGATTGTTTTCAGATTTAATAAGCACTTATGCTGTTATGGAAAATCTCACCTGCGGCTGTTGGTGCTTTTACAGCCAAACATTCTATTTACAAAAAACCCTAAAACATCTGTTCTGTCATTTCTTCATTCACAAAAATATTAACTAGACATGTTTAACTGCATGTTATCTTTCACATTTAGACGTCTGTCTGAATTCTTTATCATTTTTACTGATATGTTATACATTTAGCTGCATGTGGTTTTGGGTTCAGTGTTTAGTCAATCAATCATTTTGTTATATTTTTTATTACTAAAAGGTTTGCACAAGAGTTAATGTAATCCGTGCAAAATACTAAACACTGGATGACAAAGTCAGGAAAGAATTAGCAGCATCAAGAGTGGAAGGAGAGAAATAACTTAATGGTCTTTCTCAAAACATTTTAAGTTCAAAATAATACGTTTCCATACTTGAAACTGTCTGAATAGTTAGGAAACCGGTAAAGAAAACGCCCTGGTTATATCAAATCATTTGTTTCAGTGTACTATGCCAAACAATAAACTTTGCTTTGGTCGAGAATGGATGTGTTCTGCAAACTCTGTAAAACTAGAATTACTGAAACTGAAAGTTAAGTTGAAGGTTAGTTTTTTTTTATTGTATTTTTTAGGGATGCTTTGAACGATTGGCCGGGAATCGGTATTGGCCGATAATCACATTTTATAATTCGATTTTTTGAAATTGTTGCTAATTTATAACCGATTCCCGGCCAATCGGAATCAGTCAATTCCTTTGTCTTCATGCTTGGTTTGTACACTGACATGCACTGTCAACCCTGGGACCTTATATAGACAGGTGTATGCCTTTTCAAATCATGCCCAATTAACTGAATTTACCACAGGCAAACTCCAATTAAGCTGCTGAAACATCCCAAGAATGATCAATGGAAACAGAATGTACCTGAGCTCAATTTAGAGCTTTACAGCAAAGGCTGTGAATACTTATATACATGTGATTTTTCAGGTTTTATTTTTAATAAATTTTCAAAAATTAATTTTTTTTTTTTTACATTGTCATTATGGGGTATTGTGGGTAGAATTCAGAGGAAATAAATTAATTTAATCCATTTTGGAATTAGGCTGTAAAATAAAAAAAATGGGAAAAAGTGAAGCGCTATGAAAATGCACTGTAGGAGACATGTTTAAGGGATTGTATGTAACATATCATTTAATCTCTTAGGAAAGGAGAGATCTCCACACAAGTATCATACCTAGTGGGAAAATGTGCTTTCTGCAATGTTAAAGTCATATAAAGCTTGAAGCATCAGAATAGGTACTCTGTATCAGCCGATCACCATGACAAGGAATCAGTACTCTGTATCGGCTCCAAAAATCCTAATCAGAGCATCCTTAGTATTATGTTTCATTTTTGTTTTTTTTTAAATTATGTACTTATTTTATTTATCTATTATTATTTTACTTTATTATGTATTGCTTTTAAAGTTTATAAAATGTTTGTTGGATCAAATTTGAAAGTCAATATGTTTGAATGTTTAAAAAAGTAAAAAAAGAAAGGTTATTGCAAAATCAACACCATCATCACATATTTTTCCAGTGTTATGCAGCTATTGAGGTAAAGTTGGTTTTATATTCGCATATTCGTCCAGAGATAACATTGTGATGTGCTCCCTATATGGTTTACCAAGGTAATTTGAATATTCGGTCTGAAATGTAAGTATGTGTTCAAAACAACATTAGCACTATTTATCTGACTGTGAACAATGCTGTACTTTGATAGTCATTGGCTGCTAATATGATTTCCCTATTTAGTATTTGCAAAGAATACTTTTCTGAAATTGAATTATTAAGAGGAAAGTCTGAATGTGTGAATACAAACCCAACTTTACCTCAATCGTGCAGATACTACTTAATACAATGTATACTGATACACACCTGGCCAGAGTGGATTTCCCAGATCCTGGGACTCCCCTCAACAATACGAGCACCAAAGCATTATGAATATCATACTGCTGATATTGTTCATTTTCATAATCGTGCTGCTGCCAGTGTGCTAAAGGTGTCTGATGCTCCACAGAGAATCCCGGACGCTCATGTGACTGGAAACCCCTCGGCTCGTACCATCTGTCTGAAGGCACCGGAGGCCCTCGCCATGGGCCCCAGCTGTTGTTATTGCAAGCATGAGGACTGTTGAAATCCTCCCGAGGTTTCAACATGTCTGGAGGATACATTTCGGGGCCTCCAGAGGTCGGGGGAGGAAAGAAATGAACCCTCGGGTCTGGAGGAACCCATGGTGGAGGTGGAAGAGGAGGAGGTGGAGAAACATACCAAGGCTCCTGAGGTAATCGAGGTCTCCATCTTTTTGGATCTCTTTGGCTGCGTTCGTATGGATCTGGGTAGGGTCTATAGGATCTACTGTGATCTGTTATCACAACAGGAATGTTCATATGCGTTTGTAGGCCACTTTCAGGTGGACAAACACCAGCAGGTTTGGTGTCAGTTTCATCACTGACTTGTTCTTGGTCTACTTCATCAAGCTCTTTGTAAAACTCTGAAAGCTCCTTTTCGAGGGATGGCTTGGGACGGCACGCAGGTCCGATAAATGCAGAGCTTGTGACACCCAAATCTTTAATGATTCGCTCCCTGTCGATTAGGCTAGTGGGACATCTTTCTTTCGCATTACAGTATGTTTGTGTTGAAGGATCCAGTTGTTGGCCATCTGGATTCACATCAGTCTTCAAATGACTTCCATCAGGTAGATTAATCTTCTGGTTACTGGAAGATTTATACACGGGTGATGGGGTTTTATAGAGTTCGTCTACATTTCCACCATTGGGTGGAGAAGTAGATTCCTTGGCATTCACATTTGGCATCTATAAAAGATAATAAAACTGAATGGTTACATATAAAATTACAGTAATATGTACATTCATAGAGTAGTTACGTATTGCACAAAGAGGAATGCATTTGTATAACGTTAGCAAGTCGTAAGATGATGGAGGTTTCTGTTTTACTGCTTCACAACTATTATTCACTGTTTTAATAAAGCCTAATTCATTTATATACATGAGGAGTTTCGGTAAACAATGAGGAATGCTAACTGTTATGTTACAGGTATCGGGTTTTATGTACGTTATAATACAGACTTGACCGTTTAAATTACGACAAAGCAATTATGTTTTACCTGACGTGTGAATAACTTGTAAACAAAACAAAACGTTCTGGTTAATTAAATGAATTGGTGACGATCGCCATTACTCATGGCAGCGTAATGTTGGTAGAGGAAGCTCATATCTATGGAGGAAGCTAGCCGACAAAACGAGCAACACCACAAACAGTAAGTGATGCATTTCAAAATAAAAGTTCATAGTTAAAATATAATAATAATAATAATAATAATAATAATAATAATAATAATAATAATAATAATAATAATAATAATAATAACAACAACAACAACAATAATAATAATAATAATAATAATAACAATAATAATAATAATAATAATAATAATAATAATAATAATAAATACAATTGTTTTACATTTTCTAAAAAAATTTAAATAGTTAATTATATTTATATTATTTGATTTAGTTCATGTTTTTGTGTATGTATTTTGTGTTTTTTTTTTCAGGATTCTTTGATGAATAAACAGTTTATTTAAGAATTTATTTTAAAATAAAATATTTTTCAGATGTTAGATTATGTTTAGTTAGAAGTAATCTATATATTAATTTAGAGTAGTTTAATGCCAAATTTTGTCAGGCATATTTACAGCGAGAGTCATTTGATGACAAATCAAATATATAAATTGGTAAACTGTCATTTTAAATCTTGATAATTGGCCAGTCTCCTATTTTTAATTTAGGTTAGCACTGGTGCCTCACAGCAAGAAAGACGCTGGTTTGAGTCCCGGCTGGGTCAGTTTCCATTTCTGTGTGGAGTTTGCATGTTCTCCCTGTGGGTTTCCTCCAGATGCTCCGGTTTCCCCCACAATCCAAAGACATGCAGTACAGGTGAATTAAATAAATAAGTTGCCGATTCATTCCGCTGTGGCGACCCCTGATGAATAAAGAGACTAAGTCGAAGGAAAATGAATAAATAAATTGTAATGTGATCACTTAAGTCAGAAAAACTACCATATGTTGTTTCATTTATACATATGCTCTCAATCTATATAAAGTACTTGTACATTTGAATTGATCCAGACACCAAAGTGATTTTGAACAGTAGAACTATGCAAACTAGCCTATGTCCCCCCTTAAATGTGCATAAGTAAACTTCCATGATATTGTACACACACACACACACACACACACACACACACACACACACACACACACACACACACACACACACACACACAACATAATTACACATTTCCATTAAACCAGTAGTGAAAAGTCAGTGTGCTCCTCTATTTTAACCACAGAGTGTGTCAGACACCACTCACATCCTCTTCTGTCAAGCAATGTGAACTTCGAGTTCATTTTCACCAAATAAGCCTGACCTAAATTACTGCCAAAACCAGATTTGTTTTGAAAAATGACGTAGAATATTTTAGCCCCCCAGTGATAGGCAGAGATGACTGGTAACCCACTGCAACTAAATAATATTTTTTTAAAGGTACCCTAAATACTGGCCACTTTATTAGGTACAAGGTTCGGAGAACATTCCTCAGAGATTTTGATCAGTACTGACATGCATAACTATGTAGTGAGGAATTATATGTAATCTGGATTATGAAGTAAGATTCCAACAACAAAGTAATCCGACTACAGTTACTGTTTTATGATTACACAACTGAACAATGGCAGTAATGTTAATTCATTGATTTTCCAATTTGTTTTCTATTTTTCTAATGTTTCTATTTTTTCATATTATTTATTTATTATTATTATTTTATATATTATTATTAATGTATAGTGCTGTCAATCGATTAAAAAAATTAACTAATTAAGCACTTTTTTTGCAATTAATCACGAATAATCACATTTAAAAGACTGAAACTAGCAATTTTGGCTTTTCAAACAAAAAACAAACAAAAAACTATTTAAATTCAAAATATGATTGTTTATTAGAATTTTTAATATGATTAAGATAATACTCTTATTAAGAGTCTACCATGGCAGCAATTTTTGATTACCTTAAATGACCACCGAGTCACGAAATGCGGAGGTTTTTCTTTCCATTCGGCATGTGGTATCAAATTCCATTAAAACAAAAGTCGAAAGATTAAAAGTGAAACATACAAAATTAGATGAAACTCTGGAGGAAATGCTGGGTAGTTAATGCGACATTAATTGTTTTATACTAAAACCTTCCTTCTAAAAGTGCTTCCTTGGTCTTATACATTTTTCTTTGCACGTTAAACACACCTCGACTACAACAGAAAAAAAATCTGCAATTGCGTTGATTTTTTTTAATGCGTTAAATTTTTCAAATTTATTGCATGCGTTAACACACTAATTTTGACAGCACTAATGTGTGTGTGTGTATATATATATATATATATATATATATATATATATATATACACACACACACATATGATTACCATTGAATGTGTAATCTAAGAGAGTATATTACTGGCTACAAATGTTGTGATGTAATCTGTAATCAATAACTGAGTACATTTACAAGTAATCTGTTAGCATAATTGAATTACACAATTGAAGGTTTACACATCTCTGATGCAAAACTCCATTCCAGCACATCCCAAAAGTGCTCTACTGGTCTGAGATCTGATGATTGAGAAGGACATTTGAGTTTACTGAACCCAGTTTGAGATCATTTGAGCTTTTCTAAATTCCCTGTCTTTCTCCCAGCAAAATATGTTTTTCACAGTAAACCACGCACATACTATACACACACACATATGTGGGTTTTAACTGAAATCGTCTGTAAACACTGGAGGCGAACAAACATTGGCACTTGTTGAATAACTCTTTAAGAGCAGCTTTTAAGCTTTTAAGCAGCTAATAAGAGCAGCTTTTTTTAGTTGTTTCACTGCCAAAAGCATTTAGTCTAGTCAAAGATACCATCAACTGGGTCAGATGCTCGGAAAAGAGAGCAAAAACAAACATGTGTCTATAATTTATCCCAAAAACATGAAGGAGTTTATGGTTTGCATGGGTTGATTAGTCATGATAAAAGAAACAAACATTTAGATACGAAACTGTAATTCCACCCATATTACTTTTTACTTTGAATGATATTAAAAATTAAATCATCACTGTTATGTCTAATTTAATAATAAAAGTAGGTCAAAAATCAAAGTGGTATTTAAGGAAAAGTCATGTAACAAGGTTTTATGTTTCTGTGTGTGCCCTGCTAATTTTTCATGCATAAAGCCAGGCATTAATTTGTACCTTAATTTACAGAAGACATCTATTAAAATGTCAATATGTGACAACAGTTTTTACACTAGCTGACAAAATTCTTGCCGCCTATCCAAGGTTTAAGAACAACAAATAATAACTTGACTTCTAGTTGCTCATTTGGTATCTGAATTGGCTTATATGAAAGGCAAAGGCCTCTAAATTACAATTATTTTACCAAAATAAAATATGATCATGCCTTGATTTTTAATTATTTAATTAGGACAGTAAGGTCTGACTTTACTTAGAGAAAAGTCTTGTTACTTAACAGAAATTATATGCAATATAGAGTATAAAGTCATGGTGCAGTAGAGAAAAAAAATTTATATTGTGTATGACTCAGCGTCTATTTTGTCTATTGTGACAAATACACACAGACGATGCACGCTCACACAGAGCCCAAAATAGGAGTCTGTTATTTTAGCCAGCCCAATGTCAATAAAGAAAAGAACCAATGGGCTGCAGAGTGTCACTTGGGCCGGCCCGGTCTGTCTGTCTGGAAAAAAATCATCTTACTTTCACAGAGTCACAGATCACAGCTTCATCAATTAATAAGGCAAACAAAAACGATAGGCTGCTAAGCCTTTTATGGGCCGATCAGATCATAAGACGCCCGGCCCAAAAAGTACGTCGGCCCAGCGGGAATCTGCCCGGTGTGCCAGATGGCCAGTCCGCCCCTGATGACTCCCATGAGCTTGGAGGACTGCATCCATACATCTCGGCAATGACTCAAATAACTTATTAATAAAGTCATCTGGAATGGCAAAGGAAGCATTCTTGCAGGACTCCCAGAGTTCATCAAGAGTCTTTAGATTCATCTTCAATTCCTCCTCCTTCATCGTGCTTAATAATGTTTGTATCTGGTGACTGGGCTGGCCAATCCTGGAGCACCTTGACCTTCTTTGCTTCCAGAAACTTTGATGTGGAGGCTGAAGTATGATGAGTGCTATCCTGCTGAAGAATTTGCCCTCTCCTGTGGTTTGTAATGTAATGGGCAGCACAAACATCTTTATACCTCAGGCTTCTGATGTTGCCATCCACTCTGCAGATCTCTCGCAAGCCCCCATACTGAATGTAATCCCACACCATGATTTTTTCTTCACCAAACTTGATTGATTTCCGTGAATCTTGGGTCCATGTGGGTTCCAATAGGTCTTCTAGAGTATTTGTGATGTTTGTTGTGCAGTTCAACAGATAATTCATCGAAAAAAAATCTACCTTCTGTTATTATTTGTTGCTCTTACAACTGGGATCAACGTCAAGACTTTTGTCAGGTAGTGTATAGACCAGGGGTGGCAAACTCATTTTAGGTCAGAGGCCGCATGGAGTGAAATCTGTGTGAAATCAAATAGCACGCCTTCTGCCACGCCTTCTTTTTCAAATGGTACATTTTCATACGACTGAACTCGTACAAAAAAGCCACTAAACTGACAAAACTTAAAATAGTTACATTTCCTCATGAGATCAACTCAGTGTGCAGGCCGTCCCACAGGTTTGAAATATACTTGCAGTGGTAGCCTGATTTAAAAACACCTTTTTCCCACAGCACATAAGTGGTTAACTACATGCAACAAACAAAAAAATAATGCGATTTTTACTTGATTTTTAATTTACATGACGCTGTATATTTGATTTGATTTTAGATTTAGTTTGTATTTTATTTTATATTTTTGCTGCCTGTTTGCTGTCTTGTCTTATAATTTTTCAGTACTATCTCGTGTCCTGACCTGCCTGGTCTGCCAGTCTGGAGTTTACATGGCTTGCTCAAGGATCCATTTCTGGTTTTGACCACTGTTGCTCCTACTCCTGGCTGGCTGTTCACTATAGTACCATCAAGTATCTAACACTGGCTTACCTGTGTTGTTGCCCCTACCGTTTGGACCTTGTTATCCCCTTGTCTGTCTTGTGCCTTATTCTGTCAATAAACCCCTTTGTATAGTTCATTGCTGCAACTGGGTCCATTTTCTTGCATCCATTTGACAGTTCCACGATCTCACTTAAAATGTAGAGGTGATTTTTAGAGGAGCTTTTTCAGTAGCCGCTCCAAGACTATGGAACAATCTTCCACTCTCCTTAAGAACAGCTGCAACTTTTGAGTCTTTTCAAAGGTCACTGAAAACACTTCTTTTCTTTAGCTTTTAATCATGTGATGTGAGTTCATGTATTTTGGTTTGTGTACAGGGCCAAATGCGGGTAGATTTCAGCTTTGGCGGGTAGGACAGCCTCTCCCACTAGCCACTTTGGCAGGTTGGCAGTGGCGTAGCGGACGGGCCCGCAGGGCACGCACCGCGGGGGGGGGCCCCGCGTGATTAGGGGGCCCCGCGTCGTCGCGATTTTCAATAAACTGTTGGGAACAACTGTGGTCGGAACCAAAGTTCACACGTCTGAGTTCTCTGAACACCTCTCAAGCGGTGGACTACTTCATTCTGATTGCTTGCCGCCAATGTTGCCAACTTAGCGACTTTGTCATTAGATTTAGCAACTTTTCAGACCCCCCTAGCAACTTTTTTGTGTGTTATTGGAGATTTTTTTAGACTGTCATTTTTCCATACTGTACCGTCCCTACTCTTCTCAACGAGCTGCGTGTGATCCCGCCGGCCCCTCCCCCGCCTCACAGCACTGACAGGCGGCCCAGTCAGTCCTCTACAGCAGCCTCTCCCACCTGCAGCCCGAGAGCAGATCACCCCTCTGCGTACCGACGACAAATGATTTAGCACAGGCAGTGTGAAGGTTTTTCCCTTGTACAGTCAAACCGATCTACTTCTACTTTATTTTAACAATTTAATTGGAGCGTTTATTCTTTTCTTGTTCACAATCACAGATATTTTAGTGACAGTTTCTGAACTTGTCTGAGTTTATTTCATATGAGAGATTACTGCACATTCACTAACGTTACACATCTGTAATGATATACTGTATTCAAACAGCAATAAATTTAGTTAAATAAACATGCTTATATAAAGTGTAGTGCAATTATAAATACCCCTTTATTAACCATAGGCTGTTAAACAGAAACGGTAGAACGTGATGACGTCAGTAATATGCAAATTGACGTATGACGTATCCCCCCCCCCCCCCCCCTTCATCAGGGGGCCCCGTCAGCGATCCCTGCAGGGGGGCCTCCGCATTTTGCGCTACGCCACTGCAGGTTGGAAATCATTTTTACAATGTAGTTTTCTCAAAGCAGGGTTTGACAATAAGGATGGCTCAATATACGTGCAATTGTGATCTTAAAATCGAGTAGCAGCACGACTGAAAACAATAACTGTGTTCGCGCGAGAAGCAGGTGAATACCTTATGAGAGGATGATTACTGGTAAAAAGCACGCGCGCGCTCCTGTTTACTTGCGCTTTTTTCCGTTCACTGCGATCGGTTCTCTTTGAAAAAGACTAGAGTCTAGACAAAAAACGATGCTCAACATCTAAATCTAGTCATTTTAACATGTCAAAGTCACATTTATTTATATAAAATATATTTTCCAAACAACAAAATTGTGGCTGATGAAAATGGCAAGTGGCTAGTAATGTTGGAAATCTACTAGCCACAGTGGCTGGTGATCAAAAAAGTTAATGTAAAGCCCTGTTTGTGTATATTTGTATGTGTTTAATGTACAGCAGTTTGGTATCCATTGTGGTTTGTGGAAAATGCTCTAGAAATAAATTCAGTTGAGTTGAGTATTCATTCACGTTTCCTTAAATACGACTCAAAACAAGATGTTCACTTGCCTTCATAAGACAAATGCATTCTAATAACTCACACCAAACATTTTCAAAGGTTGTATTAATTCATTTATTAACAGTGTTTTTTTGGCTTTTCTCATAACAGTTTTTCAATCACTTTCTTCGCCTCCCATTGGATGCATATGCAGAATCTAGTGCTACTATGATTCCAGAATCATAGTCTATAAATATATAAACAATAAAATCACAGAGACGTTCTACTGATTTGCCAGCTCAGTAGTTGAAAGCACATAAAAATGGGTCGCACTTTATTTTACACTACTGTTTCATATGAGGGCGGCATGGTGGCTCAGTGATAAGCACTGTTGCCTCACAGCAAGAAGGTCGCTGGTTGGAGTCCCAGTTGGATCAGTTGGCATTTCTGTGTGGAGTTTGCATGTTTACATCATGTTCGTGTGGGTTTACTCCGGGTGCTCCAGTTTCCCTCACAGTCTAAAGACATGCGGTAGAGGTGAATTGGGTTGGTTAAATTGTATGTAGTGTGTGAATGTGAGTGTATGGTTGTCTCCCAGTACTGGGTTGCAGCTGGAAAGGCATCCGCTGTGTAAAACATATGCCGCAATAGTCTGTGGTTCATTCCTCTGTGGCAACCCCTGATAAATAAAGAGACTAAGCCGAAGGAAAATGAATGAATGTTTCATATGAACTTAGTTTTTACATAAATTGGGTAATACTTGGTCAATCTCTATACCAACCCTTGACCTGTAGGGACCTTTTATAACCCAGTTCCTTCTACTTACACATTAAGTACAAGTACTGTAAAATAAAGTGCAACCTAAAAATGAATGTTAATTTACACAGAATTGAAAAAAAGTTGTAAGTGCTCAGCAATTGAGTATGGAGTTTGCCCTCATGATGCGAACGACTTTCCTTGCGCTGTAACTGTACTCAAACTGAGTATGTTCATGATACAAGTTCAAGTATCCTGTTAAAAAATACAAACAGTTATTAACATTCATGCATTGGTGTCTGTATTTAAGGGATAGTTCACCCAAAAATGAACATTTACTCACCATCTAAAGTGGTTTTCTTATGTCAAACATAATATATTTTAAAGAATGTTGATAACTAGCCATTGACTTCCACAGTACACTTAAGAAATGACTTTTGTTGCTTGTTCAAAGTACTTATTTAAAATGAGTTGAAACAACAAAGTTCTTTTGTTTTCACATTTTTTGGAAAGACAAAACTGTTTTATGTTCAATCCACTTAAATTTGTAAAAGCCATTCAGTTATCTTGTTTGTTTGTTTTTTTTTTTGGGGGGGGGAGGGGACAACATGAGGGAATTTTGTAGAACAGCATTTTTTACAGTGGAGGAAAAAATCCTATCGATGTCAATGGCTGCTGATTTGCAGCATTCTTCAAAATATTATTTGTTAAAAATTTTCCAATAGTTGGCAGAGAAATAATTGTCATTTCAATTTAGGATAAAATAAACCTAAATATCCAATAAAAATAAATTAAAAAGGCAAAAATAATTGATGTAATTTAATAAATACGTAGGTCAAAGATCAAAATGGGGTTTAAGCATTATAGCATTAAATAATCATCTAATATACAGCTTTAGGTTTTTATTTTATTGTGTTTCGTGTTCCTGTGTGAGTGTATCCTGTTGTGTTTTTTCAATGCAAAATATAATACTTTTAAACATGATTTACAGAAGACATCCATTAAAACGCCTTTCTGTAACATCAGTTAATTTTGTCAGGCATATTTAATATGAAGAATCATTCGATGAAATATTAAAAGATTCAATTTTTCGGTCAAAGTACAACCCCAAAATACTAACGAAATTTCCTTTTTAATGTTTTCATTTTAGAATCATTAAAAACATGAGATTTAGGTTTATAACTTAATCTTATTCATTTGTATATGTTCTTTTGTGTAAACAGAAATAAGGAATTTAAATAGATTTGGAACAAACAAATAAATGATGACAGAATTTTCACTTTCGGGTGAACTTTACACAATGCGAAAGTTACCGTAATGATAAGCAGCGGCGTCCACTTCATCTCCTATTCCAGGAAAGTCGTCCTCAATGGATCGTGGGTATCCAGTGTCCATAGTGCCTGTCTGCTCATCAAAACTGCAGATCAGATCAGATCAGGTTTTTTTAGACTTTGGGTTTTATTTGGATTGAATTTAATTTATCCACTTGATAAGATATGAAAAACTGTTTAAAAAAAATAGCCATTTCTGTTTGATAAAGCCAGTTTTTTACAAAATCACACTCTCTGGACTTGCTGCATCCCAAACACCAATTATTTTATCTATTTATAAAAGAAGAATCACTTGCTGCATCCGAAACCGCATACTTCCATACTATATAGTACGCTAAAATCAGTATGCAAGCCGAGTAGTATGTCCGAATAATTATAATATTTTGCAGTAACTTACTGGTACCACAGTAACTTACCTGTAAATGTGTTTTACAGTAGCAGGGCCCTACCACAATTTAATTTTATAGTGAAATAGCCTTACAACAACTTCTTTTAAAAATAAAATGCCCTTTACCGCATTTTAAATTTACAGAATGAGCATTTTTAGCAGTACAAATCCTTTTTTAGTATTTATTACTATGGAATTTAATAAACTCCAAACAACGGATTCATTTTTTCATTAACAGTCTCATTTTGTCTTTAACTACAGTAGCAGTACTTGATTACTTTGATAACAGTAGAATACCGCAAATTTCTAATATGCAGTAAGTTACAGTAAAAGTTTTAAAATAACCCACAATGCAGTGCATTTTAATGTAGTGAACTGTAAAGAATGTATGTGGTATTTTACTGGTCATTTTTGCAGTAAATAACTGTAAAATTGCTGCAAAGTATTATAAAACACTTTCACACAACTACCAATTGATCCAAACTGCTTTACAATCAAGAAAGACCAGAGGAATAAGATAGAAAACCCAGTAAACCTAGCAATAGATAAAAAACACAATACAGCCAACAAACAAGACAAAACAGAACACACTAGCTTTTTTTAGAATATGCTAATCATGCAGAAAATAGAAATTCATCAAATAAATATATATATATATATATATATATATATATATATATATATATATATATATATATATATATATGTATATATATATATATATATGTATGTATATAATTCCATAAGATAGTAACAAACCTCCAGTATTCTTCATCTACAAACAGAAGAGTCTTGCCCGTATCTCGGATGTTGACAGCAGCATCTATTTTGCGGACCGTTTTCGGGAGGCCAAGTTTGTGGATGTATTTTGGGTAGCCGTCAACAAGAGTGTAGCCATTGAGAGCCCACATTTTGATACCTGTAATATGTTTTAATCATGAACATGTTTGAGTAAACCAAACAGGAAAATGAGTAACACTTAACAATAAACTGTACATGAATAATGATGCTATTGCTAATATAAAAACTAAATGTTACTTTATTGTTACTATTATTGTATTGTACTACAACATGAGTTTGTGTGTGAATAATGACTACCTTAATTACTTGTTAGTACATGTTTTGTAATTAATGTATTAATTACCACTTTAGTTTAGGCTAAATGTAACCAACATGAACTCATGGCCTATTAATATATTGTTATGTCATAAGTCATAGCTTTACTTGGAGGGGCACATTATTATTACTTATGAATTCCTCTGTTTGTCCTTTTTGATGTAGACAAAACACTTTTCTATTGTTTTTCAATGTAAACGTGCATATACAACGCTATCTCATAGCAATTTTGATTTAGTGGCTAATTTGTATGAAATCATACAAGCTCATTCGTACAATTTAGTATGATTTGCTTATCCGCCAATGACGGTTGGGTTAGGGGTGGGGTTGGGTGCCACATCTCCTTTTCAAAATTGTACAATTATGAACAAATTCGTACAAATTAGAGACTAAATTGACAACTGTAAAATAGTTTCCTCATGAAATCAGGCTAGCATATCTATAATGTTTAAACACAGGAGGTCACAAGTTGTTGAGAATGAGTTAATGATAATGTGCCCCTCCAAGTAAAGTCATGACACAAAGATTTACACATTTATTTACTTGTAATGTACATGTTAGTACATCATTATTCATGTGCTGGTCTTTTAAAGTGTTACCGGGAAATTGAAAGTTAAAAGTGTTAGTTGTAAATGCTCTAAATGATGCGAGTTTTTCAAAAGATAAGCAATATAAATGCGTGATTAATAAATAAAATCTCCAAACTGACCGCTGAATATGATGACCACATCTCTCTCTGGGTTCTCATAGGCAGCGTCTACTTTGTTTGGTATTTCAGGCCAGGTGTTTTTAATGAGGGTTTGTTCTGGTTCAGGCATATTTGGATGCAGCCTCCAGTAAAACCTGCCAACAACAATAATAACACAAAAAACACATATTGCACTTAAGATTTGTGCTGCTTGTTTAAACAACCTATTTAAAATGAGCTGAAAAAACACAATTATCGGATTTTTTTTGGGTACAACTGAATTGTTCTATGCTTAAACCACTTAAATTTGTAATAAATACATAAATAAATAAATAAAAAACACTTAAGTTTTTTTTAATCAGTTTTTGTTGGGACAACGTTAAGAAATTTTGTTAAACCCAGCAGTAGGATATAATAATACACTGTGAAAAATGATGGGTTCCTCACAATTCCCAATGTTGTCCTAACACAAACTGATGAAGAAATGAAGAGTAACATGAAGGAAATAAGTTACCTTATTAGTTTTTACAAACATTAATTGAACATAAAACAATTAGGTTGTCCACAAAAATGTTAATAGAGTTCAAATCTGTATAGAGCAGGCAGCTTTACCACAGCAGTGAAAAGTTTCACCTGTCTTTAAAAATAATAGTCTCTCCACGCAGTTCAGTGATGGCATCGAAACTCAGTTCAGGGTCACATTTCTCTGGAGCAATCGGTTTAGGCTTGAATTTTTCATGGTCTGGGTTTTCACCTTTTAATTCACATAAATCAGATGGTTAAATCAGGATTGCAAAGACTTATAGAGTGATCTGTAGGTCAGAATGGTGTATTGCTCACCATAGAGAGACTGGATGCCCTCAATGTCGTCCTCGGAGAGAGGGAAACCTTTGGCGTAGGAGTAAACCGGGTACATAAGAGATCCAGGGTCTGACGAATGAGCCATACCGAGAGCATGACCAAACTCGTGAGCCGCAACCAGGAACAGATTGAACGCTGCAAACAACAGGATAAAAGCAATGATATAGTTGTAGGTAAATAAAATGGAATATGAAAAATAAAATAAAAAAAACTAACAAAAATTTACATTTAAAAAACAAACAAACATCTATTTAATATCCATAACTTTAATCTGTAAAATTTCACTTGAGAAATATTTGAAAAGGAACAATATTTGCACAGAAGGGGCTAATAATTTTGCCCTCAACTATATATATCTTTGTGTGTGTGTGTGTGTGTGTATGTGTGTACAAGTTTATGTGGTTTACAAGGATACAAAATAGTATGATAGCATGTAGTTGTATTACATTAATGTGGTGTATGAGGACATGTGTTATGTCCTCGTAATTCAAAATGGTCAAAAAATCATACATAACGAGGTCTTTTGACATTCAAAATTTCCTTCAGGTTTCTTGTGAGGGTTTTGTTTAGGGGTAGAGGTCCTCGTAAACCAGATACATGAATGAATGTGTGACTGTTTTGGTTCCTTTTGTACCATGATAGTCTTCAGTCCATGTTTCATCCTCGTCAAAGTGTGTATCACCACCAATGCCGATTCCAGGAGGATACGCATGAGCAAGAAGACCTTCAGGTCCATCAAACGGGTTGAAGTCTCCATGTTCTGCCATTCACATATACAAAAACGTATGAGGATTTGAAGAAAGGATAAACACCCTGCAGTGAATCCTGCATAAATGACACAAACGGTGGTACCTTTTGTTCCAAAGCTGATCATGATGTCGGCAGTTCCATCAAACGTTTTCGTGAATCTCAGCGGGGTCACTTTGCTCCAGACGTTCAGTGCTTTTCTTACGGCTCTGTCCACAACCTTCTTCTTCAGATCAGGAGTGTAGTTCAGAATCCTGCGAATAAAATGAACAATATATTGGTTGCTTTATTTATATGTTTCCTTTTAAATATGATAAATATCTGTGAATTATTGCTAAAAAAACTAAAAAGTTAGTTTTTTTTAAATAGAATCAATTGAGCACTGTATTTTGTCGTGTTTTGATTTAGCAAATTAGAGTTATAAAAATGATTTATATATTTATTGCATCATATATCGATTGTCGGCTTTCAAATGTAAAGAGTTATTGGTTTTTGGTATTGTCCAAACTGTCCATATCTGCATCCTTTTATTGTTTTCCCTTAATATATATACTTGGGCTGTCGATTGATCTATTTTAATACAATTAATGCAGGCAGATGCTGAATGAATCAGTCTTCTGAACGAATCGAATGAATACATGAGTCAATGAATTACTCATTAAACATTTACCACAACCTACTTGCAGTATTAGTTTCTTATTTAGAGGATTATGTCTTGAACAAAAGTATTTAAAATTAATCATTCATTTATTCATTTTCTTGTCGGCTTAGTCCCTTTATTATTCAGGAGTCGCCACAGCGGAATGAACCGCCAACTTATCCAGCATATGTTTTACGCAGCGGATGCCCTTCCAGCTGCAATCCATCACTGGGAAACATCCATACTCACTCTTACACTCATTTCCCCCACAGTTTTTGGACTGTGGGGGAAACCGGAGCACCCGGAAGAAACCCACGCAAACACAGGGACTCAAGCCAGTAACCTTCTTGCTGTGATGCAATTGTGCTACCCACTGTGCCACCATGACGCCCCTCAATTTAATATAAAAAAAAGATATAAAATTAAATAAATACAAATTTAAAAATAAAATACATAAATAAAGAACTTTTACTCTAAATCTACTCTTTTACTCTATACTCAAAATCTTTTTATTACATTTGTTTCATTTCAAACCTGTATGATTTTTTCTTTTATGCACACTAACTGTACCAAAAAAAAAAAAAAAAATACTAATACTACTAATACTTCCCTTCTTAGACTTTACAGACCTGAAACTTGCCTATAGCACTTATTCATTGTTGCTCTTGGTTGTGTAAATTGCTTCCTTGTCCTCATTTGTAAGTCGCTTTGGATAAAAGTGTCTGCTAAATGAATAAATGTAAATATAAATGTATAATAATTTTTATTAAATTAAACAAAAAATAAATAAATAAATAAATAAATAAATAAATAAAATTGACACAAATGTAAGTAAAAGATTTTTCATTTTGGTAGTTTCAAACCTGTATGATTTTATTTCTTTATTATAATAGATAACTAAGCATCAATCTACATGCAACTTCTGAAAAAAAGCATGGCCATTGCAGCCTAAATGAATTTTTTATTAAAATAATCTTTCTAAATCTGCTTTTTTTATGTCCATATTATGCTTTTTGCTTTTACAATATGTTTGTTTTTATAATAATAAGCTAAAAAATATTTCCCAGCTCAACTAATCACTACATCATGGAATAAATTAGATTAAACACTTTAATTGATGCACTGTAATAAATAGTCAAGACAATATGTTTTTAGTTGATTATAACTTATTAAACAAAGTTAATTATGTTCTAACTTAATTTTATAAGTTACTGTTTATGTCATTCCTTCATTCATTTTCTTTTCAGCTTAGTCCCCCTATCAATCCGAGGTCACCACAGCGGAATAACCCATTAACGTGTCCAGCACATGTTTTACGCAGCGGATGCTCTCCCACCCGCAACTCAAACCTGAAAAACATCCATTCACACTTATTCACACTCACACACTACGAAAAATTTAGCCTTTAACCAGCGACCTTTTTGCTGTGAGGTGACGGCACTACCCACTGCGCCACTGCGTTGCCGCTGTTTAAGTCAATTTAATATAATATAAGCTCAAATAAATAAATTATAAATACAGTTGAAGCCCTCCTTTGGATTTTTTTTTTCTAAATATTTCCCAAATGATGTTTATAACAGAGCACAGAAATTTTCACAGTATGTCTGATAATATTTTTTCTTCTAGAGAAAGTCTTATTTGTTTTATTTTGGCTAGAATAAAAGCATTTTTTCATTTTTTAAACACCATTTTAAGGACAAAATTATTAGCTCCTTTAGGCAAATTTTTTTCGATGGTCTACAGAACAAACCATCGTTATACAATATCTTGCCTAATTACCCTAACCTGCCTAGTTAACCTAATTAACTTAGTTTAGCCTTTAAATGTCACTTTAAGCTGTATAGAAGTGTCTTGAAAAATATCTAGTAAAATATTATTTATGTATATACACACACACAGTTAAAGTCATAATTATTCACCCCCCGTTAATTTTAATATATATAAACTTAATTTAATTCAGTTTAAAAATTGAAGACAACCAGTATTTTCTTTTTTTTTTACAGTGTGAACAGAGTTTTAGAACAAACACAAACCTGAAGGTCACGTTTGTGGTTTTCCATTTGAGATCTCGAGGAAAGTGATTATATTCAGCCACATCTGGAACTCCACAGCGAGCCATTTCCATTAGCTCCACAGTCTTGTCATCCAGCTTTCCAGTCACCTCCAGCTTAAAAAACTCCTGCATCTCTCTGATCTTCTGCTGCATGAGATCAGACGACTTTCCCGGTCGCTGAAGACCAGCCGGCATGCCATAAAACCTTTGAAGGTATTTCTAAGACAGAAAAAAACACATTTAAACATGCAAACCAACAAGCAAAATCCTTTAAAGAAAGTTCGTCTTACTTTAGCTAACACAGCTTTGTCTTTCTCCTCAGTTGAAATGGGTTTTGCTGAACTATATGCAGCGATCACCAATAGTAGAACAGTTTTAAGCTCCATGTTGGCCGTATGATGTTGTGCTGGGTCTAAAAGGCATTTTTATAGTGCTTCGTCCTGTCAAAAATTGTTAGTGATTCATGTAAAAAGTACCTTGGGCAATCTGCCACTTCCTCTAAACGCGCAGCCAGCAGAATGTGGTTAAAATCTACTTTTAGGACACCTGAGTGAGCAATGAAGTCACTGCTGCAGAGCTCAGACTGACTTGTTGACTCATTTTTGGTCATTTTAACAAATTGACATGCATGACTATTGTTTTTGTTTTGGTCACCTGGGTTGATTTTACAGTCTGATGTGCAACAAGCCGCTCGGGTTTGGTAATGTGTGATTTAAATATATGAGAGAAATCTATTTCTGAAATTCATATCCAGGTGACTATTTTTTTCTTCCAGACTGCCGGGTAGGATTATGAATCATAGCCGTTGGGTTTTGACCTGGCATATGACTTCTAAACCTGTATGCACACATTAAAGAGGAAATATGGAGAACATTTAGCAGAGAATAGTGAGTACACAGACTAGGGGTTATCAAAACATCAATTACAACACAATTTCTATTACATGCTCTGACAAATTACCCATAGCTTGACAAATGATATATATATATATATATATATATATATATATATATATATATATATATATATATATATATATATATATATACTAAAAACTTGTTTTTTTTAGTTATGGTGACCACAAAAATCTATTGTTTTCCTCCACCAAACCATACAGTAGTTTAGACGGATGGTGTTTCACATAAAAATAAAAATATATACTACTGCCTCTCAATATTTGACATCCAAAGTAGGAAAAGCAAATACTATGGAAGTAAATGGTTACTGGTTTCCAACCTTTTTCAAAAATATCTTATTTTGTGTTGAACAGAAGAAAACAGCTTTTCAGTTAAAGTTGAACTATTTACATGCTATATTAACACACCAGAAAACCATGGTTAATAAAATTCCAATTTAAAGACACCTTTTTTAGGCATCCTACATTTATGTGATGCATTGTGTATATGCTTTACTAAAATGATAAGGCTTTGTTTTAAACTGAGAGAGAGAGAGAGTGTGTCTGACCCTCGGACATTATTAGGAAGGCTGTTCCAGAATTTAGGAGCCATATTAGAAGGCTCAACCTCCTTTAGTGGACTTTGCTATTCTACTAGAAGCCCTGAGTTTTGAGATCTTAAAGTGTGAGTTGGATTGTAGCGAGTCAGAAGGTTGGTAAGACAAACAGGAGCTAGACTATTTAAAGCTTTATTTGCAAGAAGTAATACCTTTTTTAATGTCACCACTCTATTACTACAATAAAATTATGGTTATTTTTTGTAAGGGTGCTAATGGCTTATCAAACTGATGGAAATAGATGAATAACATTTACTGACAAATTTTAATTCTATTTAGCCAGGGCATTTTTAAAGATTCAAAAGTGATAGTAACAATGCTTATTTTATGGCACATTACAAAGGATTTGTATTCTTGAAAAGACTATATTCAGATATATTGATAATTTAGTTTTACCGTCATGGGAATTAATTATATTATAAATATTATGAAATAGAAAAGATTTTTCGAATTGTTATAAATTTCACAATATTTCAGTTTTTATTTTTTAAGATCAGTATGCTGACATATTTCACAATGAAACTGACTATTTGAGGGTGGGGTTTATTTTTGTACTCCTCTCATCTTCTAATCGGATCAAACTGATTTTAGGCTGGTTGGTGGTTTATACTTCTGCGTCATGCGTATTGTCCGGCGCAGCCTTTGTGTGTTTGCATAGCCCTCGGCGTGTCTGACACCGATGCTGACGCCGAACAACGCGTAGCACAAGCTCTCCGATTGGTCGGATTGGTAGCTGTGCCGAGTGTGGGCGGTGCTGAGAGCCACGAACCTGATGGAGCGAGTGTTTATAAGTGACAAGTCTCGTGAAGGAGCTCAAGATGTTTTGTGTTTCCCTCATAATTAAAGCTGTTGCACGTACACCAGCTCCCGCTTCTGAATGAGTTTTAGCTACTTGTACATTAGCGTTCAGAAAAAACAAAACACCTGTGAAGAAGCTCGACACAGAGGAACATGAAACAATCTACTGCCAGCTAGCATTTCAGAAGTGTTGCAGAGCAACACAAATAGCACGCAGAAGTATAAATGCATGGCTTCGGGCAAGGCATGCGCCATGGGTTACAGCGATCGCTTGACGCAGAAGTATAAACCAAAAATGGTTGGAAGGGTGTGGCTAATCAGATTTTGCACAAACTGCCAAACTGGCATCATCAGAGAAAGGCTACCATTCCAGAGATTCAAATTACCAAAACAGACTGTTTTTATTTCCTTAATGAATTAATTTGCACATATAAATTCACTGTAAAAAATGCTGGGTTCCACACAATTCCTATGTTGTCCCAACACAAATCAATTAAGCGAACTCAATTGTTTATACAAATTTAAGTAGAAAATTGGGTTGTCCACAAAAAACTACAGAATTGTGTTGTTTCAACTAATTTTAAATAATTGGATTAAACAAGCAGGAGAAATATTTTTTTTAAGATTAATTTTTGTTTACTTTAAGGCTAACAATATGTGCAAAATACTTTTTGATTTTATACAGACTGAACCTAAAACTGACTCCTTGAACCTGACTACCCCAGATTTCTGTATAGTAATGTGTGATCAAAAACAGCCCTGGATGTTTTGCAGAGCTGTTAGGGACTTTTTCGGAGCTCTGCAGCGTCATCACATGAAAAACAGTCAATCTGCTGGTTTTGTGGTCCAGCATGCATCCATTTAAAAGAACACAAAAACAGTTTTATGAACTATTGTGTTTTCTTCATTTATTATGTTGGTCTTTAAACTTGTTTTTTTATAGCTGCGTGAACTTGTTTTATGTCCATGGGGCAATATATTTCCAGGACCACAAGTGCGGACATGTCCTGTTAATGGCAGCTGTCACCCATTTAACAGTATAATGGAGAGACAGAATTCTTGAAATGTAACTTCTCTACGCCACACCTACATAAAATACACACATTATTAGGTAGACAGGTGTCTGGATGTCTGATAACACTGATTTAAGTATCACTGTTAAAACACGGCACACACACACATAAAAAATACCCACTGGTTTCACACTGCACAATGTTTTCAAAGTAGCTGTTTTTTTGCAATTATAGGTGATTAAAGAAGATATGTAAAAAACAGTACGGGTGGGGTTTTCTCTGTTTTTTTCTCTGCCAGTCTGTATTTTTATCATCTGTCTTTCAGCTATGAACGAGAAGAAGATCTTAAAAAATTAAACAATAAACAAATGGTTTGCTCCCACACAGATTCAAAAAATCCGAAAACAACAAGAACTGCAAGAGGAAGAAGCTATCTTGATAAAAAATTAAGAGGGAGATTATGTGGGAAAAATATTTTTCTGTTTTATTAGTGTAGCAGCTAAATAATATTTTAGTTTAAATAATTTATTTATATATATATATATATATAATAACCGTCCACCTATTTTTTTAGCATTCACCCAAAAACAGCAACAGTCGAAAAATAGTAATTATAATAATAATAACTATTACCAAATACTACAAAATATATTATATATACTTAAATCACTTTTACATTAAATTAATTACAAATGATGACATATCTAAATAAGTTTATTTTAAGGTGTCTTTGATACAGTGTAACTATTCCTTTAATTACTCAGCAAACTTTACATGTACTTCTGGGGCGGATTTAACCAATAAGCAAGGTTGGCGGCCGCTTTGGGCCCCAGGAAATCTAGGGGCCCCCAATAAATATCTAGAAGTATAAATGACACTTTTACAGTTTTCTACTGTATTTTGTACGGCAGGAGTTAAAGATATTTTAAAGGACAATTTTAACGTAATTAAATAGTATTTAATGTACAATCGAATATAAAATTATTATAATAATGTAATGTCATGTAATAGTAATAATAATATTACAAAATAAAATATCCATCAGGAAGCAGTCCAGCAGTCAAATTTAGAAAAACCTACCTACTTGTAAATTTATTTTGAGAAAACTAATCATTTAAAATCTAGAGATTGCATTAACTTAAAATGTTGAAGATTGAGTCATATAAAACAACAGCAATATAAATAAACATTAAATAAATATAGATAAATATAGTGTGCATTTCAGGACTTGGTCCCTGTGGCTGGAATTGCTTATTCGCTGGAATCCACCCCTGCTTACTATATGGTTAGGATGAATGTAAGGTCCAGGGTTACTTCCATAAGTTATGCAAGTTAGGCATAATTAATTGTAATTAATATAGAAAGTACATGGAATGTGTAACAAGGACAACTTTAAATAGTGTTACCATTGTTCATCTGTCTTTGTCTTTGTTCTTCTGAACAAGTGAAGACATGTACAATAAAAACACTGACTAAAGAAAAAAGTGCTGTTGAAGTAGATGATGATGATATCCATGTAATTCAACTCTATCTTGACTGAGGGCCAAAACTTACACATGCTCTATTTCAGCTAGAAAGATGCAATGAACTCCTACACACACTGAGATTGATGATGAGAGTGATGAGATGATGAGATCCAAAAGCTGAGATCAGTTCCTTCAGTGGAAATACCCCTACTTTAGTAGGACCACACTCTTTCCCATTTTGGGCTGGGAAACACCAAGTTGACGAAAAACAATTAGCGCAGATGAACCTCAACTGTGTTGTCGCAGCATGTTGGCTCACGTCTGGCTCTATCTGGACCAAAAAGCTGCATGTGCATGTAGTAAAACGAACAAAAGGTGACTGTTTCAAGAGTGCGCGTTCTGCACCTTAGGTACACCTATTCAACTGCTGGTTCACACAAATATCTAATCAGCCAATCACATGGCAGCATCATAATGCATTTAGGCATGTAGTCAAGAGACAATCTTCTGAAGTTCAAAACGAGCATCAGAATGAGGAGAAAAGGGCATTTGATAAAACACCCCCCTATAAATTTTACAACTCCCCTATTGACCTTATTCTCCGCAGACGAATGGGCGCTGCCATTTGAATCTTTTTGGTACGAGACTTCCGGTCTCATTCACTTCCATTCATTTTTAGACATTAAAAACTGCTTGTTTCGCTGTTTGATGTTGCAAACTGATATTTC